CATATCAATATAATGGTGTGTAGTATCCTGGCCCTCGGCAGTGGACCTTATGTAATGGTGGTGTGTAGGACTTCTTTATGCGAACAAACGTTGTTCATCACGTGGAGCAATAGTTTGTGGTGGTGCTGGTGTTTCGAATTCATTCAAATCGGCATCATAGTACAAAGCAGCACGATATGGACGCAATTCCCAGGGTACTTGATTTTCCATGGGGGTCAATTGTACACCCAAATCTTCTAAGGTGGGTACATTGTTGAGTACCTTATCGGTAACGCATTCCAATTCTAAGCGTTCCAAATGTAAACCACCCACAGGTTGGCCAGGGCAAATCATTTCGGTCATTTTGGTTTTCAAAACGAAAGTGGGATCGAAACGCATATCGTAACGTTGGTAACCCCACCATTTCTCATCCTTGCGCATAAGACGATGGAACCAGTCGACCAATTCGCTCAATTGGTAACGTTTGGGACTAAAATGCAATAGTTTTAAATTTACATTTATTTTTTTTGTGTGTTTAAATGAAACCTACCCCACAGCTTGATAAACCTTGCCAGCGGTATCGGGATCCTTGGCACAGTTAATAATACCCTGAGCTACATCGGAAACGAATACGGGTTGTTTAACGGTACGTTCACCTTTGTACCACAAAGGCATCGAACGGAATTGGCGACGCCAGATGTGAGCGTAGTAACGCAAGAAACGATCTTCAGAACCATAAATATCCGAAGGACGAATAATGGTGGCTTCGGGGAATTCTTCGCGTACAGCTTGTTCGCCCCAGTATTTGCTGCGCAAGAAATTGCTGCCGCCATCAATGATGTGACTCTTGGGATGGGGATCAGCATTCAAGGCGGAAACGTGAATCAAACGTTCAACTCCCATTTCGCGGCAGATGCTGGAATGGTTATAAAAAAGAATTCAATCAAAAAATCCTTAACAAACTTAAAAGAACCGATTTATAGTTTCTTTCACTTTTCGAAAAGAATGCTATCGGTTTTCACACTCACCGTGCAATGCGACGAGCACCCTCCACATGAACATCATTGAATTTGAAATTCTTAGTCTCATATTCACGTCCCACCAAATTGATGACAACATTCGAATATTTGACAGCCTTACGAATGGCTTCCTCATCGCACAAATGATAGAATTGGAATAAAACCTGACCCAAATCACCGCATACCTTCAAGCGAATAGCTTCGGAATCTTCACCACGATAGGGCAAAATCATTTGGGTGCCGGACTTGCCCAACTTATTGCAAACATAACGGCCCAAGAAGCCAGTGCAACCGAAAACGGTAGCAACAATACCATTGAAACTACTGCGGCCACCGGTACCGCGTTTCATGGCACTCAAATTGGTGGTCTTCAGGGGACGTGGACTGTCGGAAGAATAATTGGCCGTACGCAAGCACAATACACCCAAGGCGCCATTGGTTTGTTGCTCTAGAAATTAACACACAATTTTAGTTCTTTTTGTTGGAAAATGAAAATTTCCTTAGGTCTCTTTTAGACACACGTTACATAAGTTTTTCGTTTCCACTTGTTTTTTGGCGAGACTTTGGAAGTGAATTTTCATTAGTTTTACTTACTTGCCATTTGCACATTCCTCATTAATATAAGCGAAGCCATTTTGCCAATTAAAGCTTACGCTAATCCTTAATATTTATAACAAATTAATTGTTTTTTTCTATTATTTATAGAGCCCTGCTATGCAAAAAAGTGGCTCTCGCAGTGACTTCGTACGGAATTGAATTCGCTGTGAACGATTGTGGCAAATGTCAAAACAAAATTCGCCTTAAAAAACAGCTGTTGTCGAAACAAAAGAGTTACCATATTCAGTTTCTTAACATGTGGCAATACTTTTGAAGGTACTTTGTAATAATAAATAAAAAATTTAAATAAATAATTTATTTTTAATAAAAATAAGTTTTTAACATTTCAAATTTAACAAAGATTGTTGAAAAATAACTATAAATTTAATTTAAATTATCATTTCTTATTTATTTTCGAACAAATTAATGTGTTGTTTCTAGATAACGTGTGAGTAGTTTGAGTTAAAATTTTACTTGTATTTTGTTTTTGTTACAATAACAAAATACAAGTAAAATTTGTGCTCAAACTGCTCGATCGGTATTTAGAAACAGCACATAAGTGATTTTTCTAAAATGTTTAAAGTGACATCTCTAATTTTTGTTTTTCTTCTAGCGAACGCTTTGCTTTGAGAGTTACCGTATTGACTTTTAATGCCATGTGGCAATACTTCTTAAGGTATTTTTAATAATATGTATATGTAAACATTTTTAAAAATAGTTAATTTAGAATACAAATAAGATAAAAGTAATACAAAGATAATACAAAATATTGAAAAAAAGTTCTTAGTTTTTATAAATTGTCAGTTTTTAATTTCTTAAAAAAAATTAAGCGACTTTGCTGTGGCAACTTTTGTGTTTATATTGTTTTTTTCTTTTAGCGCCCTCTTTGATTTGTTTATTTAAAATAAACGGTTTGTTTTCTTGGTGACAGCTGCCACAGTTGTCATATCAACAACCCGCAAAAATTAAAAGAAAATACAAACAACGAAGAAAAAATTTAATTTTTGTAAATTTTTAAGTAAAAATCCCCCGAAAATGTTAAATAATGAACAATTTGCTGATCCTTGTCTAGAAAGACATTTTACTGGACACAGTCAAGCCATAACACAAGTGCGCTTTAATCCGGAGGGCAATAAAGTGGCCACTAGTTCTTTGGGTAAAATTTTCACAAGAAAAAAAAAATAATAAATTTTATATTAAATCTCTTTGTTACAGACTCATCTGTTATTTTGTGGGATTTAAAGCAAGCCGCCAGATGTATACGTTTTTCAGCCCATAATGATAGTGTTTATGGTGTCAGCTGGTCGCCCAAATCGAAATTGGTGGCCTCTTGTTCCAAAGATAAAACTGTCAAGATATGGGAACCAAAATTGAAAGGAGTTTCTGGGGAATTTTTAGCTCATGGTAAACCGGTAAGATCAGTAGATTTTGATCCCTCCGGTACAATGGTGGTGACAGCTTCCGATGATAAAACTTTGAAGTTGTGGCGTGTGGCTCAAAAGAAATTCCTCACCTCCTTTGCCTGCCACACTAATTGGGTGAGAGCGGCTAAATTTAGCCCTAATGGACAAATGATTGCCTCTTGTGGTGATGACAAGTCTTTGCGTATTTATGATGTCAACTCCGGCGAATGTATACGTTGTTTTACCGAGGAAAAGGGTATGGGACGACAGGTGGCTTGGCATCCGGATAGCACGGTGGTAGCAGTTGCCATGACTTGTAATCGCGTGAAAATATTCGATTTAGTAGCTCAGGAGTTAATACAATTATATGAAGTACATGTGGGCGCAGTAAACGATTTGGCTTTTCATCCAAATGGCAACTTTTTACTAACCTGCAGTGATGATGAGACCATGAAAATATTAGACTTACTAGAAGGCAGACCCATTTATACCCTAACGGGTCATACGGGTAAAGTAACAGCGGTGGCTTTTAGTCAGGATGGTTCACAATTTGCCTCGGCGGGAGATGATAGACAGGTAAGTGGTTAAAAGGAAAGTAAATCACATCACAAATACAAACTTTTCCATTTCTAAAGCTTTTAGTTTGGAAATCCAATCTTCATACCTATGACGTTTCTCTCTATGAGGCCAAGCTGGCGCGTGAAACTTTAAATGAAAGTGGCATTGTGCCTCATGCTCAACAAACGCCTGCCAGCACTATGACAACCACTACAAATGCTAGTGATCAATCTATAATTATCGATCCCCGCCAATCAATGGCCTATAATAATCGTGATGAAAATTTCCAGGTGCTTGAAAGTGAATATATTAAACATTCGACTACACACTTGACATCTTCACCCTCCATCACTACTACTACTACTAATTGCTCCGCCACTTCGACGTCGTTGTCGTCAACATCTAGGACTTCTGGGCATTTAAGCTCTAATAGCAGTTCTTTGTTAAATTTTCCTAAAAGTAAAAGTAGCTTTTTCGATGATTATAATAATTCTCCTAATAGGAAATTACAGAATCAAACGAATGCCAGTTCGAAATATTTTTAATTTCATTTAAAAAAAAAACTTCTTTGATTTTTCACTTTTTTTAATATTTTTATTTATTAATATGTATAATAGAAGGACCATCCACCTTGCAGTTAAATTTATCTTTTGAATTGAGTTTTACTTTAAAAATTAGGTGGTCATTTTTGTGTTTTAACTTATTTTTTCTCTGCTATTTTTTTCTATTTCATATATAAATTACTTTATATTATATTTGATTTTCTTGGATCATATTATATAACCTCTATGTCCAGTATTGTATTAATATCTAATAATAAAAGAAGTTATATGACGTTTTTAATAAAAAATTGTTTAGATTTATTTCGCTTTCAATGTGTTGGGATCCCTGAACAAATTAATGACTATAGAAAAACTGGGGGATACTACTTCTGGCCCATCTCCAAAGTACTCGAATCTCCTATAAAAACCAGTTAATAGACTAGACCGTATACTAGTTCATACACTAATCAATAGAGTAGACCATAGACTATTCAATAGACTGTACCACAGACTAGTTAATCGACAAGTTCGTAGACTAGTCCATATACAAGACTATAGTATAGTCCATACTCCAATCAATAGACTAGTCCATATAGAAGTCTATCGAATAGTACATAGACTAGCCAATAGACTGGGCAATAGACAAGTCCATACACTAGTCAATAGACTTATCCATAGACTAGCCATTAGACTAGTCCATAGACTAGTAAATAAACTAGTTCATAGACAAGTCAATGCATTAGTCAATAAACTAGGTCAGAGACACGTCAATAGACTAGTCCATAAACTGGTCAATATACTTGCCCAATAGACTAGTCCATAGACTGTTTCCAACTGCATTTCCCCTCCAATATAAGGGCACATGGCAGAGCCATTATGTTATCCGGAAGTTTACGGTATTTTTTGAATATCGAATAAAAAGAGTGTATGCTATCGAAGGCCATAAAATTTTCCGATTTATGTTTGAACTTTCGATCTCAATCGCGAATTATCGAAATAGGTTTAAAAGGTTTAAATTTTGAAGATTTTAAGAATTTCGAATTCATGTTCGAATTTTCGAACTCAACTTCGAATTTAGTAAATTTTCCTTTATTTTAACAAAATAACACGAAATATAACAAAATGCGAAATTTTTCTTAAGTTTTAGTAAATTTGAATTTTGAAAATAAAGAATTTTGAAATTCGAACTTAAATTTTAAAGCAATTCTTAGGAAAATCTTAAAACTTTTAATAATTACTTAATAAAAATCAACTTAGTAGTCAATTTTGAAGATTTTTTACAAATTTTAATAGTTTCTTATTAAAAATGCACTTAGGTTGCAATTTCGAGGATTTTAAGAATTTCGATTTTATATTCGAAATTGGCTAAAATTAATAAATTTTCTTATATTTTAACAAAATAACACGTAATATCACAAAATTTTTAATTCTTCTTAAGTTTTCAAAAATTTCTTAATGAAATTATACTTAGGTTGCAATTTCGAAGATTTTTAGAATTTCGAATTTTCGAACTTAACTTTGAATTTTCGAAATTGGCCAAAAATAGTAAATTTTCTTATTTTTTAACAAAACAGCACGAAATTTCACAAAACTTATAATTCTTCTTAAGTTTTAGCCAAATCGAAATTTCAATATAGAAAATTTTGAAATTCGAACTTGAATTTTAAAGAATTTTTAAGAAAATCTTACAAATTTAAAAATTTTTTAATAAAAATGCACTTAGGTTTAAATTTTGAAGATTTTTAGAATTCCGAATTTCGAACATAGAATTTTCAAATTTATTTTCGAATTTTGGAAATTTAACAAAATTACTAAATTTTCCTTTACTTTCACCCAATAACACCAAAATTTATTAAAATTTATAATTTTTCTTATGTTTTAGCCAAATCGAAATTTCGATATAGAAAATTTTGAAATTCGAACTTGAATTTTTAAGGAATTTTGAAGAAAATCTTATAAATTTTAATAATTTTTTAATAATTATCCACTTAGGTTGCAATTTTGATGATTTTTAGAATTTCGAATTTTGGAAATTTCACAAAATTACTAAATTTTCATTTTGCACCAAATAACACGAAATTTATCAAAATTTTTTATTTTTCTTATGTTTTAGCCAATTCGAATTTTTAAAATAAAGAATTTTGAAATTCGAACTTGAATTTTAAAGAATTTTTAAGAAAATCTTACAAATTTAAATTTTTTAATAAAAATGCACTTAGGTTTAAATTTTGAAGATTTTTAGAATTCCGAATTTATGTTCGAATTTTCAAATTTATTTTCGAATTTTAGAAATTTAACAAAATTACTAAATTTTCCTTTACTTTCACCCAATAACACCAAAATTTATTAAAATTTATAATTTTTCTTATGTTTTAGCCAAATCGAAAATTCGATATAGAAAATTTTGAAATTCGAACTTGAATTTTAAAGAATTTTTAAGAAAATCTTACAAATTTGAATAATTTTTTAAAATAAAAATGCACTTAGTTTTAAATTTTGAATATTTTTAGAATTTCGAATTTTCGAACTTATTTTCGAATTTTAGAAATTTAACAAAATTACTAAATTTTCATTTATTTGCACCAAATAACACCAAAATTTATCAAAAATTTTAATTTTTCTTATGTTTTACCAAAATCGAATTTTCAAAACAGAAAATTTTGATATTCGAACTTGAATTTTTAAGAAAATCTTACAAATTTTAATAGTTTCTTATTAAAAATGCACTTAGGTTTAAATTTTGAAGATTTTTAGAATTTCGAATTTATGTTCGAATTTTCGAACTTATATTCGAATTTTCGAAATTTAACAAAATTACTAAATTTTCATTTATTTCCACCAAATAACACGAAATATATTAAAATTTTTAATTTTTCTTAAGTTTTTTTTAAGAATTTTTAATTTAAATTTTATTTCGCTTTTCTGATTTTCAAGATCACAAATGTTTGCTCTAACAGTTATACCCCTATAGAGGAAATTAAAAATGATATTGCCAAAATAATAATGATGTTTTATGGCCTTAATGAAAGGGTTAAAAAATTGGAACAAGCTTTAAATAAATAAGAAAAAACTCATGTTATTTTTAAATGGAATATATAAATATTTATTGTGTTTTATATTAATATTAATAAAAATTGAAACATTTAAAAGTTTATTTTTATAGCTGTATATCATATAATATCTTTGTTTTTGTTTGTTTTATTATAATTGAATAAAATTGTATCTTGTTGAGAGTTAAAATTTTCAAATTTTCTTTTTCGTTTTATTAACTATTCCTTCTATTATTATTTTGTCTAAAACCTTTAAATTTGTTTATTATTATATTTTTATATTTTATAATTTATTTAAATTTGTAAAGTATTTTGTATTTGTTGTAAATATATGGGTATCCATTGAATGTGTACATTTTTTTGGCTTTTTTTTTAAAAAAAAACTTTTACTATTCATTCTACTTAATTGAAAAAAATTAAAAAATTTATGAAATTTCATAATTTTTTATTTAAAAAAGAAATATATTTATGATTTAGCTTAAAATTTCTATAAATTTTTGAGCAAAAAATTAATTTTGTTTTCAAAACAAAACTAAATTCGTTAAAAATTGTTTTAAATAACGATTTTTTTTAATGAAAACGATTTTCTATAGATTAATAACAAAAAATGCCCTTTTAAGATTCCTAACAAAATTAAGAAAAAAACAATACATCCAGTTTTTTTTTTTTTGTTAACAAAAATCATACACTTTAACAGTGTATTTAACTCTTAAAGTATATTTTATAAAAAAAATAAAGTAAATTGCTTGCATTCAAATGTTATACATTAGTAAATTAATAATAAAATATAGGTAAATAACTTTAAATTTAAATCAAAAGAAAAGCAAAAAAACTGAAATATTTCTTAAACTTCCAGTTTTAATTTCGCTATTTTGCGAAATTTACAAAACATTTCGTTTCATTCTTTCACACCCACATATTGTGCTGATTTGCCAGTCTTCTTAATAACTTCCAACAGCTCTTCGCCCGATAGATTGGAGGTAACCAAAACAGTTTTCTCATCTAGATCAATACTTACTTTTTCCACTTTATCTGTTAAAGCAAAAACCACAAAACACACAGAGACAGAAAAGCATATTAATTTAAACTACTATTATAGAGTAATATATCAAGATTAAATAATGCATAGAGTACAAAAAACCAAGATAGCAAATGGAACACATTATTTTCAAGATAAAGTTAATGGTAGATTTTGCGGTACGTGTTTCGTTATCAGTTGGTAACAAAAACACACGATATAGGTCAAAAAACTTTTAATAATAACAAAAGGAAAATATTGGAAATAAAGCGAATTTGTTGATTATAAGCAAATACATAAATGCACACATGTATTTGTATTGGCAGTTCATGTCTAGACTAATTATTTGTAATAAAAATTTGCAAGATTTTAAGCTTGTAATTAACAATTATTAAGAACTTCTGTTTTCCATAATGTTATTTCTCTTCTGTATTTGTTGCTTCATGAAGTTCTGCCTAAGTTATAGGATAACTTTTTGATACGTATCATTTAAATCACAAGTGCTTACGGCCGGAAAGGTTAGACACACAGATCAGCTATGCTGCAGCCTCTATCTATATTCTAAGGAATCTGCATAAACTACAAACAAAAGGTCCCGCAATGACCCATTTAGGTATTCCCATTAAACTAAGAAAAGCTATAACTTTGAACTAGTACTTTCAATCTAAAAACAACCTGACAATATTAACCTAGTTCCTGGAAATATCTATTTCCATCAACTTAACCTTAATTATTAACATTGACGTGTCCATTTATAGAATTTTCCTAATATTTAATTAAAACTCAATTGAATTTCTTACCTCCTAGCTTGCCCAATACTCTTTCCACTGCACCGGAACAACCAGAGCAGGTCATTTCCACTTTAAATTCATGCACCTTAACAAAAAGAAGAAAAAATCGAAACAATGGATTTAATTAATGCTAAAACAACTTGACCTTTTTCACATTATTTGCATATACAATATTATCATATATTTTTCTTTCTAATTTTACTTACGGGCATTTTGCTAGTCGCTTGACTTCTTGACGAACCTGAATTGGCTTGCAAATATAGCTGCGGTAAGTTCAACACTTTGATGCCGTTTACTTTTTCACGTTTAACCGAAAAAAGAAATTCTGAAAATGTCTGCTGTTATTGTTTGATAAACAAATTATTGTTGTTTTGTTGTTGTGTGGAATTTTTTTTTTTTTTTGCTTCTATTTTTCGCTTAATTTTGGCACTTTTATTAGTTAATAATAC